TGTCCCCGCTCAGTGTCCCCTCTGTCATCCTCTGCCCCGCCACTGTCGCACCTCTCAGGGCTCCATGCTCACTTGGGGACACCTTGGGGACGCTCCGGTGGCGAAGGAGCCCCGGGGAACGGCGCCGGCAGAATTCAGCCCAAGCTCCCAAATCCTGGAGCTTCCCGCGGCCTGCGACGGCACCATGGAGGCGGTGACGTCACCTGGCCTGGCCCCGCCCTCTTCCGGCGTCTCCCGATCGCGCTCGGGCATTTCCGGCGTCTCCCGATCGCGCTCGGGCATTTCCGGCGGCTCCCGATCGCGCTCGGGCATTTCCGCGGGCGCCGCCATTTGGGGCCGGTTCTGGGCCGGCACCGGCGCTGGTCCCGGGGTTGTGGCTGCTGGCACTTTGTGGCCTCTTTGTCCCTTTGTGTCCCCGCTGTCACCCGCCGTGTCCCCACATCCCTCAGGGCCCCGTCCCCGCTCAGTGTCCCCTCTGTCATCCTCTGCCCCGCCATTGTCGCACCTCTCGGGGCTCCATGCTCACTTGGGGACACCTTGGGGACGCTTCGGTGGCGAAGGAGCCCCGGGGAACGGCGCCGGCAGAATTCAGCCCAAGCTCCCAAATCCTGGAGCTTCCCGCGGCCTGCGACGGCACCATGGAGGCGGTGACGTCACCTGGCCTGGCCCCGCCCTCTTCCGGCGTCTCCCGATCGCGCTCGGGTATCTCCGGCGTCTCCCGATCGCGCTCGGGTATCTCCGGCGTCTCCCGATGACGCTCGGGTATTTCCGGTGTCTCCCGATGACGCTCGGGCATTTCCGGCGTCTCCCGATCGCGCTCAGGCACTTCCGCGGCTCCGCCATTTGGGGCCCGTTCTGGGCCGGCACCGGCGCTGGTCCCGGGGCTCGGCAGAGCGCTCCAAGGAGGGGACAGAGGCCACAAATGCCACCAGGTCCCTGCCACCTCCCCTGTCCCCTCCGCAGCTGTCCCCTCAGCAGGTGCTGGCGGCTCTGGTGTTCATGGTGGCCACCCTGGGAAGGGCGGTGGCCACCGTGACCAGGACGCAGCGGGCCGCGTGCCCCCGGCCCGTGCTCGCCGCGCTGCGGAGCCTCACCTGGCTGCTCATCGACACCCTGGGCCACCGCGGTGTCCCCTCCCTGGGCCAGGCCCTGGCCGCCTGCAAGGCCGGCCCTGGCACCACCTGGGCCGACGTGAGGGCCGCGGCCGGCGCCGGGCGGGACTCGGTGGCCGCGCTGCTCCAGAGCTGGTCCCGGCTGGTGAAAAAGGTCTCCGAGCTCCAGAGCACCTGCAAGGAGGCGGCCGCGGCCGCCGCCAGCACCGCCGCCGCCGCCAGCGCCCAGGCTGGGGGCTTGTGGGACAAGGTCACGCGCTGCTTGGATTGCGGGGACAGGCTGGCGGCCGCGGCGCGGCAGCTGCCGGCGACGCCGAGCGCCGAGGAGGCCGCTCTGGTGCGGGAGCTGCACCAGGCGGCCGGCGAGGTGACGGCGGCCCACAGGGCCGCCAGAGACGCCCTGACGGCCCGGAGCCGGGCGAGGGCGGCCGCCAGGAGGGCGCAGCAGGCGGAGGTGGCCCTGGAGCTGGCGAAGCACTTGGTGACGGCGTTTAACCAAGGCTCAGTGTTCCCCGAGGGGCTGGACCGCCGGCTCCGGGTGGTCGAGGCCGCCCTGGAGGGGACGGAGGAGGAGGAGGAGGCGTCCCCCGATGTCCCCGAGGCCGTGGTGGCCGCGGTGGCCGAGGCCAAGCAGCTGTGGGATGCTGGCGACCGCCTGTTCACGGAGCACCTGCTGAGGGCACTTGGGGAGATCCAGGCACACCTTTCCCGTCCCTGTGGTGGCCGCGGTGGCCGTGCGGTGGGTGAGTGGTGCCGAAACGTCATGGAGGACATCCCGAGGCTGCTTCAGGACAGTGAGAAACAAGAACTGGCTGCTGCTGTGGAATGCAGCAGGTGCATCTGTGATTGCTGCGTGTTGATTGTTTCTAATTAAGAGCCAATCACAGATGCAGCTGCATCGGACTCTGAGAGTCTCAAGATTTTGTTATGCATTCTCTTCTGTTTCTTTTCTTTTAAGCCTTCTGGTCGTTTTTTCTCTCTGTTCTTTTAGTACAGTTTTTATGTAGTATTTTAATATCACATATATCATAAGGTAATAAATCCACCTTCTGAGAAAATGGAGTCAAACCTCGTGTCTCCACACGTGGAGAACCCTCAACAAAGTTTCTCCTTCACGTGAATTTCACCTGGAACGTGCAGAGTGTGACGTGGCTGCCGTGCAATATTTCATAGGGGCTGCTGCTGTCCCTCTGCCTTGGTGCTGTGTGGATTCTCAGCCCGAACCCGTGGCGTGGATGTTTTCTTGTTACGGTTTGAATTTATTTTGTAGTTTCTTCTCGGATCTCCTGCGGTCAGGATGACCCCGAGATTGTTAGAAAGTCTCTTTTTTTCCCCAGCCCCGATGGTGGGAGGAGTCGGAATTCCTCGGCTCTGGTTTTCAAGGTTATTTTCTCTTTTTTACCCAAAACATTCTTTCCCTGACCCGCTGAGATCTGCCTAGCAGGTCTGTCAGAGGCACGCCGCCCGCCCTTGGGCTGGGGTCAGCATTTTATACCACCAACTACCTGTACTTTATTTATGATTCTTTTCCAACACCTATCCCCTATGTTAGACTCTCTGCTTCTATTCTAAACCAATCCAAAAGCGCCAGCATCGCACACAAGACGGAGGCCGGGAAGAAGAAGGAAGAAGGACAAGCAAGGCCCAAATCCCTCCATCTCACCTCCTAAACCTCATACTAAAAACCCCCAAAAATTCCACTTTTCACCCTCTGATAAATTCATTATTCTACGTTTGTGACAGGACAGACATTTTCGCGCTGTTCTTGTGCGCCATCACCCTCTGATAAATTCATTATTCCACATTTGTGACAGGACAGACATTTTCGCGCTGTTCTTGTGCGCCATCACCCTCTGATAAATTCATTATTCTACATTTGTGACAGGACAGACATTTTCGCGCTGTTCTTGTGTGCCAGCGAAGGCTCCCTGAAGATGAGGGAAGCCTCTCTCGAGGAAAATGCCAAGGCTGTCGCTGTGGCTGTGATATTTTATGAAAAATCTAGGATTTTTCCCCTCCTGAGGAGCTGAGAGCCTCAGGAAATAAATGTAAACAATAACTGTCTGCTGCTGTGGATTCCACAGGTGCATATATAATATATAAAAATATATATCTTGAATATAATATAATTATATTAATATATAATTATATTATATTCTAGATATATATAATTATATTATATTCTATTATATATATAATATAATTATATAAAATATAATAGATATAAATATATATCTAGAAATACAGGTAAAATATAGATATATAGCTATATAGACATATATATAAAAAATATATCTATAAATGCAGATATATAGATATATCTAGATAAAATATAGATTATATATATAGATATATAGATAAATATATAGATATGTAGAAATATAGATATATAGATAAAATATAGATATATAGATTATATATAGACATATAGATATATAAATATATAGACATATAGATATATATAAATATATATCTAGAAATACAGGTAAAATATAGATATATAGCTATATAGACATATATATATAAATATATATATATAAATGCAGATATATAGATATATATAGATAAAATATAGATTATAGATATATAGATAAATATATAGATATGTAGAAATATATGATATATAGATAAAATATAGATACGTAGATTATATATAGACATATAAATATATAAATATATAGACATATAGATACATAGATATACTGACATATAGATATCTGTATAGTTATATCTATATAGACATACAGATGTGCACTCTTGGGGTTTCCTCTCAGGTTGGGATCATCCTGAGGTGTCTTTAAAAAAAACTTTAAAAGTCTTTTTCCGCAACCCACCTGCCCCAGCAGAGATCAGAAGTCTTCGGCTTGGAGATGTCCATGAAAACTGAGATTTTATTGAGCTAACGAGCGAGTACGAGGAATTATCAATAATCAAACACCACCATCAAATTCCATAGCAGAATACTTGTGATCAATAACAACGTACAAAAGCCAATAGGGAAATACAAAACCAATAGAGAAATGCAAAAGCTAATTATTATATTGTCGTTTAGAACGTGGCTGCAGCCACAGCGGAAAGCTGCCTCTGCTGCAAGGCACCGAGGGGGCTCATTCACCCCCTGACCCACCCCCGCATCCATGAGTGTCCCCAGAGTGTCCTCAGAACGTCCCCGAGTGTCCCCAGCGACGTCACCCCAGGAATTCCCATCAGGATTTGGGGCAATTTCAATGAGAATTCCCATAAAATTCCCCACATTTGTCTTCAATCCCAAGCAGGGAGGGGACAGGTGACACCAGCGATGTCCCTGATGATGTCACTGCCCCGATGATGTCACAGGGGTGACATCACTGTCCTGAAGCAGCCTCGGGATGTCCTCGATGGCTTTTTGGCACCTCTCGGCAATCGTGAGCCCAGTGAGGCCATCAAAGTCACAACTGAAGAAGAGCGGGTCGATGTCCCCAAGTGCCCCCAGCAGGTGATCCTTGGCCAGGCGGGCGCTGGCCTTCCACAGCCGCTCGGCCTTGGCCACCTTGGCCACCAGGTCCTTGGGGACATTGGGGGATGCCTCATTTGTCCCCTCCAGGGCGGCCTTGATGTCCCTGAGCTGGTGCTGCAGCTCCCGGGGGAAGGCGGCGGCTTCGTCACACGCGGCCACCAAGCGCTCCAGCAGCCCCAGGGCCTCCTCCGCCCGCTGTCTGTCCACGGTGGTGGCCATCGGGCTGGGGGCCACCACGGCTTCTCCTGTGTGCTCTCCCATGGCCTCTCCCACGGCCCTCCTCACGGCCACGGCAGTGCTCCTGCCGGTGGCCGCGTCCCTGCAGGCGTTGTGGAGCTTGGTGGCCTTCCTGGCCAGCTGGAACCAGCTGTGCTCGAGCACGGCCACTGACCGCTGCCACTCACTGGCCATCGTTGTCACATGGTCCCAGGTGACCCCTGGGGTGCTCTCGTAGGCAGCCAGGACCCGGCCCAGGGAGATGGGAGGCTCATCCTCGCGGTGCCACCAGGTGAGGCCAGCGTGGTCCAGGGTGAAGGAGAGCTGATGGGTGAAGCTCTCCAGGGCCAGGTGCAGGAACCCTGGGGACACGGCCAGCATCACGTCCCCGTCCAGCCTGGCTGTGGTGGCCACCAGCTCACCCAGGGTGGCCACCACGGTGACCTGCAGCTCCAGCAGCTGGGAGTGGGACAGCTGGGGAGGGGACAGGAGAAGTGTTAGTGACCTGGTGGCACTTGACTCCTGCAGTGGCCCCTGTGCCCTCCCGGGGTCCCCTCTGCCCCTCCCTGGAGGGCTCTGCTGTCCCCTCTGTCCCTTTCTCACCCCCTCGTTCCCTCTGCCCCCCCGCCCCCTCCCGTTGTCCCCCCCACCCCTCTGTCACCACCTGTTCTA